GAACCCGTGTCCCCTGCATCGGCAGGCGGACTCTCAACCACTGCAGCACCAGGGAAGCCCCTAAGTTTTTTTTTTTAATTTTTGTTGTAGCATAGTTGATTTACAATGTTGTGTTAGTTTCAGGTGTACAGCAAAGTGAATCAGTTATACATATATCCACTCTTTTTTAGATTCTTTTCCCGTACAGGCCATTACAGAGTATTGAATAGAGTTCCCTGTGCTATACAGTAGGTCCTTATTAGTTATCTATTTTATACATAGTAGTGTGTATAAGATTTTTGAGAAACCATGTTACTCTCATTACATATGGAAAGTTATTTTCTCCCAGCTTTAAGGTCCTAAGACATAATGTAAGTACAATTCCAAAGTGGTTACAGGACTTAACTATGGAGAAGTCTAAAATGGTTAGCCAATGCAAGCTCAATAAAGTAAATTTATTTAAAATTTGTTCTTAAGAGAAGGTCTTGTTCTGCATCAAGTCATTTACTTCCATAAATTCCTCAATTACAGTATCATCTGAAGGTATTCAATATGCAGTTTTCCATACCTTAGAAAGGATAACCTACCACTCTTGTAAAAATAAAGACCTAGTTGTTCATTTAATATGCTTTCAAACTTTGATATCTTTCTACTTGAGCAATTGAAGGTTTGTGTTCTCATTGTAATTCTTTATGTGAGGAGCAAGGAAATTTTAGACTTAACTCGAAGTATTGATTATTATTGAACTCTTTTTAATCTCATTGAAGAAACTCTGCTAAAAATAGCAGGACTCTTCAGACTTGATTAACTTTACATCTGCCATTGAGTCTATGGATATGTGTTTTTAAGCTCTGTGAGTCTAAGGTAAGTCTCCTGTTATTAATATGCTTGCAAAATCTATATCTGTGGTATCATTGCCAGAATCGAGCAAGACAGCAATTTAAATGTTTAAGAGAAAAATGAGTCTTGGACTTTCTTTTTACTTTCAAGCTAGATATTTTTATATTCTTTGTAAAGGAATTGGATCATTGCCCACTTGCAAGAGTGAAGAGGAAAATAATTACCCTTCTCTATAATAAGGTCATGACTTTATTATCATGAATCATGACAGACCTTAGTTATCTATCAAGAAGAGGTGATTAACATTAATTATAGTGACACAGGTACTTATTATTTTAGCAGGGCTAAATAATTCTCCAATAATTAAGTGGTTAATATTAACTAATTTCATGCAGCAGAGTACTTAGCTCTGTTCTTGTCAATAATAATTTGAATTTTGTCAATGACATAAATATATTCAAAAGGCCACTATCTTGGGACTTCCCTGGCAGTCCAGTGGTTAAGATGTCGCACATCCACTGCAGGGGACGCAAGTTCGGTCCCTGGTTGGGGAACTAAGATCCCACATGCCGAGCATTGTGGCCAAAACTAAACTAAAATAAAAATTAAAAACAACAACAACAACAAAACCAAAAGGCCGCTATCTTAATAACAATATGACCTGTGAGAATATTATAGAGGGTTTTTTAATGACTATTTTGGAAAATTAATATCATTTGCTCTGGTACTTTTCAGTAGTAGAATAAGTCTTACCATTTATTTATTTTGTTTACAAAACAGTAGTTTTGCTCTTAATCAGCAGCATAGAATACTATTAGTATTAGCAATAATAACAGTTAATATTTACTGAACAATTACCATGTGCCAGACACCTTTCAATATATTATTTATTTTCAAGGCTATCTTTTGGGATAGGTATTATCTTTTGAGACAGAGATTATCATCCCCACAGATGAGCAAACTTGGACAACAATTATTATCATAATTGGGAAGTGACAGAGCTACCAGGGTAGCTCTGCAAACCAGGGTTAGAAAACAAAATAGAGGAATAAATATCAATACTACCTATCCATTCTCTTCTGCCTAGTCTATTCTGTGTCTTTGAGTCAAATCAGGACAAAAAAGGCCTCATTTTAGTAGTATTATTATTTTTTAGGCAGAGAATATTTCAGGAACACAAGATTGGATTCATCATAATATGATAAGAATCATGAATTCTTATCATTAGTCTAGGCATGGCTCACTTTTTTTTAGTTAGTAAGTTGATTACTTTTTATAATATGGTAAACGCCCAACACCAACCACTCACTAGGACCTTGGTAAAAACCTACGTATAAATTTAAAATTAAATAGAACTGTAATAAGATCTTAGCTTTTATTAATGGTTTCTCCACATTCATTTTAAAAATATTTTTAAATTGAGGTATACATTACTTACAGTAAAATGCACAGATCTAATCATAAATTTTGCTAAGTTGAGTTGGATAAGTTTGGAAACAGGCATATAAGGGTTAAATTTATACCCTCAAGGCACAGGATATTTTTCAAAACAAAAAGTTCCTTTATGTTTTTTCCCAGTAAACGTCACCCCCCACCAAAGACACTACTGAACGGATTTCTATCACAACCACTTAGCTTTGGTTATACCTAAAACTTTAACAGGTGTGAGGACATATATCATTGTGGTTTTGATCTGCCTTTCCCTAAGGTGTTGTGCACCTTTTCATGTACCTGTGGGTCATTTGTATGTCTTCTTTGGAAAAAATAACTGTTGAGATCCTCTGCCCATTTTTTAATCAGATTTTCTTTTTTCTATCGAGATATATGAGTTCTTTACATAACGTTTCCCATGTTAACCACTTTTAATTATACAGTCCAGTAGTCTTAAGTGTATTCACATTGTTGTGAGGCAGACCTCCCGAACTTTTTCATCTTGAAAAACTGAAACTCTATACCCTTTAAACGACAACACTCCTTTTCCCCTTCCCTCCAGCCTCTGGTAAGCACCATTCTACTTTCTGTTTCTATGAATTTGATTTCTTTAGATACCTCCTATAACAGAATCATACAGTATTTGTTTTTTTGTGACTGGCTTATTTTACTTAGCATAATGTCCTCAGGGCTTCTCCATGTAGTAGCATATGAGAGGATTCCCTTCCCTTCTAAGGCTGAATAATATTCTGTTGTATAGATGTATTAGGTTTTGTTAAGCCATTCATCTGTCAGTGGATATTTGGGTTGCTACCACCTGTTGGCTTATTGTGAATAGTGCTGCTACGAACATGGGTATGTGAATATCTCTTCAGGATCCTGATTTCAATTCTTCTGGGTAAGTACCCAGAAGGAGAATTGCTGGATCATGTGACAGATCTATTTTTAATTTTTTTGAAGAAATTGTATACTCTTTTCCATAGTGATTATCTCATTTTACATTCCCACCAACAGTGCACAACTGTTCCAATTTATCCACAGCCTCACCAACACTTGTTATTTTGGTGTTTTTTGTGGTTTGTTTGTTTGTTTGTTTGTTTTGTAGTAGTAGTCAGCCTAATGGGCGTGAGGTGAGAAGTTTGTCAATCATAATTGATCTTTAAAAAAAGAAACAGTTTTTTTTTCTTTTTCAATTTAACTGATTTAAATCATACTCTGTATGATTTTTTTCCCATTTATCTTATTAAAACATAATTTACATTCAGTGAAATTTATAAATTTAAGCATACAATTGTAGGCATTTTGACAAAAATATATAGTTATATAAGTACCACCAAAATGAAGATATAGAGCAGAGGTCATCCAACAATGACCTGTGGACCAAATCTGGCCCATGGACTGCTTATGTTTGGCCCTTCAATTTTCTAATCTGCGCAAGAAATGTTATGTTCAGCTGCTAAAGAATTTTTTGAGGATGTATTATCTTTCTGTAGAGAAATAGAGCTTTTGGAACCCAGAAGAAAGGAAAAATGAATTTCTGTGAGGTAATGTACTTGTCAATGTCTTACAGAGGAAAGGGAAGGTTTGGGAATTACCTTCAGCTGTTTCCATTTCCCTGCGTCTTAGAGCTGGGTTTCTCAAACCAGAAGCCCAGCATATTTTTGTTTTAAAAAACAAAACAAGTGAAAATCTTGAACCTGTGCCCACAGCCAGCATGTACCCTTTTGAAAGCTACAGTATGTTTTGACTCACTGTTATAAAACGTCCTGAGACAGGAAACATTTAATCCAAAATGTAGTGCCTTTAAGGAAAATGCCCCTTGGAAGCAGGGAGTCCAACTGGGTATCAGTGTGAATATTGTCATTGTCGTTGGCAAGATCTTCAGACCTAACGGGTGGAGGTGACATGGACACACAGTGCCTTTCCTCAGGAGTGCTCTTTAATAACACCCAAATACCTGAAACCTGATGTTGACAACGATGAGTATCTTCTTCTTTTCTGCCAGAATCCCCTGCTTTAGTGAGAAGGAAGGAGATACCTTAAAATGAATGTGAGAATAGTGAAGTTAAATCTTAGTTAAAATGTTTTAATCATCAGACTGTGTGATAGAAATGAATGTGTTCACTCCAGAAAATATATAGCATTATCACGAAAGGCGTAAGGAAAAAGAAATGAATATGCTTGAGGGAAAATCTGCAAAGCCATAGAGGCTTTGTGTATGTGTGTGTGTGTTGGGGGAGTGATGGAAGGGGGCAGTTCTGGCAAAGGCACAATGCAAAAATATCACACTTACATTAAACTGAACCCAGAAGTTGAAATTCACATTCACCCTGAGTTGCCATTTTGCTGTTTTCGGGGTCCACACTGCAAGATCGTGCTAAAGGATTACCAAGAGGCAGTGGAAGGAAGATTTGGAGTTCAAGAGACCTGAGATCTTGTTTGGGAACTTAGGTGTCCCTAGCTAATTTACTTAATTATTTTCTGATTCTTAGATCTGACTTCCTGAAAATGGGTATATAATGATAATTGTATCTCTCATGGATTTTATGAAGTGTCCATAAAATGAAATATGGTCATGGTTATACAATGATAATGTAAATGTAAATACAAATGTAAATACAATGATAATGTAAATTTTTTAGCAATACAAATGTTAGTAACTCTTGTTTACATGTATGCAACTTTAGAGAATTAGCCCTGTTAGATTCAGCACACAGTGAATTCCACAACAAAAGCAAATTATTTTAATTTCCAGTTCACAGGTAATTTTTAAATAAACTATTTTAGTTTTTTAGTATTATTATGATTTTTCACAATAAAGAGTCTGCTTTACATAATTTATTGAAAGTTCTACCCTTAATCTACCATTCAACATAATCTTCTACCCCTTTCCCTCTAACTCCTAGAGTTGGGTATATCTTACAGGATTACTTTAATTTGTCTCATAAGAATATTGTGGAAGACCTATATAATAAAGGGCTTTTTAAATTCTAATTTGAAGCGTAATGAACAAAGTTTGAGGATGATCAGATTCATGAATTTTCTTATGGGCTTCAAGGTACAAATTAATACTAACCTTGATCAATGGAACAATATTTCTTTCTCTCACATATATCCTTCCCCGATCTCCGTACATCCACCAAAGGCCTGACTTTCAAGGTTTTTCCTGTTGACTCTGGCAAAATGAACATGGAGTTCAGCGATTCATTACGTGAAGTTTCAGAAAAAGTCTTTTGGCCTAACGTATCAAAGAAAAGAATCTGGCAACCCAAAAGTCACCCAGCAGAAGGCAGCATTATCTTTACAAGCTATAGCTGTGCTTAGGTGTGTTTGATAAAGTTGTTTGGTTATCATTTTTACAAAATAGAGAACCTCACCAGTTCCTCTAGGGTTCTCAAGTGAGAGATACCCTCGGCCCATATCGCTTCTACACCGTGCAACTAATCTTTGACGACACAAAATGACATTTTACCAATTGCAATAACACCTGGTAAATGCCTCCTGTCGATAGTAGTACTGTGTTTTAATGAACAAATAAATGGCTTATCTGCCCTTCTTGGCAAGAAACCCCAGCTATTGAGGCGAAGCACCAGCTCTCCCTGTGTTACTTGGGCTAATTGACTCTTTGGATGAAGTTAAATCTCACTTATCCCCAGTGGGATGTATGTTTGCCAGTAATCAATAGCTCAACAAGATCCACATGGCAGGTAATTAAGTGGAAAGTAATTAATACCCATCAAAGGTTTTATTAACTGTTTGCCATTCCCTCACTCAAAAGTCCCACTGTACTGTAAATAAGAGGGAAAGAGGCAAGAAGAGAAGGCAGGGAAGAAACTAGCTTTGATTTCGAAGAAGTCAAAGAATTGCAATTTTCTTCCTGGGTTAATTCCATTTTGAGGCTAGGAACTGCTCTCCAAGTTATCATTTTATTGGTTTGTTCTCTTTGTTCCATTTTTGCAAGGACTCAAGTAATAACAGGATCTCAAATATATGCACTATTGTAGAAAAACGGTCTTATTCTGATATTATGAAGAAAAGGGGAAAAAATAAGATGCCACAGTATTAGGGACCTTTGTGTTGAAGAAATTGAGAACTGATAGGCTAAATTTGGGGCAAGAACTTCTACTTAAAAGAGAAAACAGTTATCTTGGTGAATGGAATGCTCTAAATATCATTAATTATTTTTGTTACTATCTTGGATTCTTTATATTTCTTATAAAATATTTAACTTTAATTTTTATTGAGAATAAATTCTGCCTCCCAAACCTCAGCTACATCAAGAAGGATTTTACATTTAAAAAGGATTATCCTTTTTAAAATCTGCCTTTTGTGCCAGTACCTTTTGGAAGATACATTCAGAAGACTTTTCCTTATGCTGTTGCTTTTTGTTCGTCTTTTGATCTAAGAAAGGAATTGAGCCAGTTCCCAAAGAAGCCCTGACTGTAGGTAGGACTCTTGAATAAGGCAGGAAATTGGTATGGGAATGATGCATAAATTAATAAGACACAAAACAAATTAATCCACTGGGGGAGGCAGTACTTCATTTACTTGGAAATTTCTCACCTATTGACCTGGTAAGGTTCAGGGTTTTAAGGCTTGGATCATTATATTTTCAACCTCATTTATAGTTTAAAAAATGCAGTGGCTTATGTTAATGATAGGGATCTGGAGAAGAGATTGTTCCCAACTTAGATCTTTATTACCAAACCTCTATAATATCATATAAGAATGCCTTTCTTTGTTTTTTTTTTTTGTTTTTTCTTTATGGTACGTGGGCCTCTCACTGTTGTGGCCTCTCCCATTGCGGAGCACAGGCTCCGGACGCGCAGGCTCAGCGGCCATGGCTCACGGGCCTAGCCGCTCCGCGGCATGTGGGATCTTCCCGGACTGGGGCACGAACCCGTGTCCCCTGCATTGGCAGGCAGACTCCCAACCACTGCGCCACCAGGGAAGCCCAAGAATGCCTTTCTTATAATTATTGAGACCTCAAAACAGTTCTTTGGAAGTAATGAAGGCACACATGTTCAGGATGACAAAGGCTACTGAACATACAAATACTTGACCAAGTGTTACTTGCATATTTTACTCTATTAAAACAATTCTATGCTTATAGAATTTTTGTAGTGCCAAACTAAAAAAAATTTTTTTTCCTTTAAATAGAACACTATTTTATTCATGAAACTGAGTATTTTAATTGTAAGTCTAGGGTCATAACTGAAAAATAGGCATGTCTATCCTTGTAAAATTGCTCTAGAAAGAGAGCTAAACCTATAGATGCTTTGAGAACTATCTAATTTCTGTGTATTACCTTTATGCTCAGAAAAATATGCATTATTTAACTTAATTTAATGTTATTTATATTAATATTATTCAAAGTTTTTACAGATATTCATACATCTATTACATCTATATACTATATACCAGTGAATACTGTGATCCTATTAAAAATGCTTTAGGCAACAAACATAATTTTCCCCTTTTTGCTTAATGTCTCCGCTTAACTCCCAGAGTACTTATTATCTTATTGCAAGTACTTGTATATATCCAATTACATGCATAAATATACATATATACATGCATAAATTCACATAAACATACCAACAATGTTGAACTTTATCTGAGTCCTATGCTCCCGAGAAGCAATAGTGGTTAGGAAGTGGCTCTTTTACTTTCTGCATTTCCATAGAGGAAGGCTCTGAACAGGTCAGGTCAGATGTTGACTGGCCAAGATTCTCACGTTGTACTGGATCTGTACACGAATTTGCTTTTAGCAGCATGAAATTCCAGCAACTGGACAAATGACTAGGAAATGACTGAAAAATGACTAGGAAACCCATCACAGAGAAAGGAAATTCAGCTGAACGGGCAGGGTTTCAAGAACATGCAAGAGGTTGAACTCAGACAAGAGGATTGTTAAATGTCTTTAAGAAAAGGAAACATTAACTTACTTGCTGATTTCTATTAATACGGCAGAAAATATATTAGTAGAAAGTTAAGTCAGCAGTGAGAAGGTAACATATTAAAAGGAAAAATAAGTTAGATTCTGGATGACTGATTCATGAATCATAATCATCACGACAACATCATTTCAGCTACTATTTTTCACATGGTTATTACTCTGCATCTAGAATTCATTCCTTTAATAAATCTTCAAGGGGTTGTTATTATTAACCCCACTTTTCAGCTAAAAATACTGAGGCTTGGAAAGACGAAGAAACTTTCCTGAGTTCACAGAGCTAGTAAGTGGCAGAGCCTGGATTCAAAGTCAGGCCTTTAATCATTAGTCAAAGCCTAAAAAGAAGCAAATTCTTACATATGGATTTCCACAATTAAATAATTTTAAGGATCGCAAGTAAATCCAATGCCCAATATTCCAACATCTGACTTCTGATAGGAAGAAGGGAAAAGATCCTGCTACCTTGGTTTAATTGTAAGCAATTACCTGTACAAAGAGAGTATTCCACTGAGCTACTGATACTGCATGCTACATAGTTTTAAAGAGGAACGTGATTCCTAATACACCCAGCACAGGTGCCACTCTATAATTACACTGCTAGCAGCCCTGTAATGAGGACTTTCTTTTTCCCCTCCAATCAATATAAATGCCTATCAACGTAAAATAGTCACACAGCTTTCTACAATCTGGAGAGTAAAAAGCAATCCCAGGCTGACATATTATCTATAATCTAAGCGTATTGCTTTTTTCAATATGCATTACTGGTATTATTTAACATGCATTGAGGGTGGCCAGCATGCAGGAATAATTAGAACAATGGGCACCTCAAAGGGAACACATAGATGCCCCGCTGTACTGATAATGAAAGGTGCTATCAGAGGCAAATCACACCCAATTAAGACATAAAAAGGAGACATTATTAGTGCTTAATTCTGACTGTGTCAAGAATCTCTGTTTGCCTTCCTTTATTGCAGATAACAACATTGTCTTGACCTTACTGCAAAATTAATGGTAGGCATTTCATTGTGTTATATTCACTGTAACCTACTAGAAATTTGTGTGTGTGTGTGTGTGTGTATTTTTTTACGTGCTTTGTGATTTGTGTTTTTATATGACATATCACTTAGCCTTAACTTTGTTCACAATTCTTTAAAAAATGCAAAGCCTCAGAGCCAAACCAGATAAAAAAATCTCTGTTCGCAACATTCAAAACTATTCAAGACCAGCTTAATTTAAATTTGCATGAGCTATGTAGACCCGTGAGCTGGGTCTCCATCTGGTTTCTGTTTTTTTAATTTTATATACTTTACTGTACATATCTGAAGACAATACTTTAAGAGATATTGTCTTGTGTTGTGTGTAATCCTTGTACCTCTCCTCCAGAGGAATTGATGGTAATCCTTAAGCAGTGTGGCTAGATGGACTTTGTCTTTCTTTATTGAAGTATAGTTGATGTACAATATTATATGTTACAGTTATATAATACAGTGGTTCACAATTTTTAAAGTTTATACTCTATAGTTATTATAAAATATTGGCTATATTCCTTGTATTGTATAATATTTCCTTGTAGCTTATTTTATACAGAATAGTTTGTACCTCTTAATCCCCTATCCCTACATTGCCCCTTCCCCCTTCCCTCTCCCCACTAGTAATCATTAATTTTTTCTCTATATCTGTAAGTCTGCTTCTTTTTTTTATATTCACTAGTTTGTTGTATTTTTTTAGATTCTACATATAAGTGATATCATACAGTATTTATCTTCCTCTGACTTATTTCACTTAGCATAATACCCTCCAAGTCCATCCACATTGTTGTAAATGGCAAAATTTCATTCTTTTCAATGGCTGAGTAGTATTCCATTATATATATATATACACACACATACATATATACACATATATATGTGTACATATATGTGTGTGTATATACACACACACACATATACACATATATACCACAAGTGCTTTATCCATTCATCTGTTTATGGACAGATTGCTTCCATATCTTGGCAATTGTAACTAATGCTGCTATGAACATTGGGGTGCATATACCTTTTCAAATTAGTGTTTTTGTTTCTTTTGGATATATATCCAGGAGTGGAATGGTCATATGGTAGTTCTATTTTTAGTTTTTTTGAGAAACCTCCATACTGTTTTCCACAGTGACTGCACCAATTTACATTCCCACCAACAGTGTACAAGGATTCTCTTTTCTTCACATCCTTACCAACATTTATTATTTGTGTTCTTTTTGAAGATAGCCGTTCTGACAGGTGTGAGGTGACATCTCCTTGTAGTTTTGATTTGCATTTCCCTGATGATTAGTGATGCTGAGCATCTTTTCATGTGCCTGTTGGCCATCTGCATTTCCTGTTTGGAAAAACGTCTATTTAGTTCTTGTGCCCATTTTTTTAATTGGGTAGGTTGTTTGTTTTATGTTGATTTGTATGAGCTGTTTATATATTTTGGATATCGACCCCTTATAGGTCATATAATTTGCAAATTATACTCCCATTCTGTGGGTGATCTCTTCATTTTGTTGATGGTTTCCTTTGTTGTGCAAAAGTTTTTAATTAAGTCCCATTTGTTTATTTTTGCTTTTATTTCCTTTGCTTTAGGAGACAGAATCAAAAAATACTGCCAGGATTTGTCAAAGAGTGTTCTGCCTATGTTTTCCTCTAGGAGTTTTATGGTTTCTGGTCTTACATAGATGGCCTTTTTCTCAATCTTCCCTGGCAGCTGTTCTGAGGCCCTCTGTTCTGGTCCCACACCATCTCTTTGTGCCTGTATGTATGGTTCCTGCTGCAGGACTCTTACTCAGTCTTAGTTTTCACTTGAAAACTTCCTGAAAGGACAATCTTTAATTTTGAGCCTGTTTTTGTTAATGTTGGGAATGTCTATGTAGTCATGCAAAACCTGTATTCTCTGTAGTGACTTGTGTTGTTTCTGTTTTACTTTGGTATGTGAGAGGGTCATGATGATCTTTGGAGGCAACAAAACTCTTCCTGTTTGAAATCTAAAATAAAAACTGATCTTCCATCATAGTTGTGTCATGACACTTTCTGTGTAACACCATTCATGTTCCATAGGCCACAGGAGCTTGGTATTGGTAACGTGTATGAAAGTATAAAGGATATATTCAATTCAATTCAGCAAATACATGTTGAGTATTTAGTACAAGGCAAACCTATGTAAGCTGGTTTCTCAGCAGCAAAAGAATTCATAAACTGATCCACCAAAAACTCATACCCATGATGACTCATGCTATAGAACAATTCTGAAGAGGATACTGATGAAACATGAGAGTCCACAGGATCCTCCCACACATGTTCTAAGAGGAGAGAGAGGCACGTTGCTCTTCTGATAATTTTACCTCTTCAAGCGTTACACTTTTCACAGTCAGCATAGAAGGACAAACAAAATATAATCAGGCCCTATTATCTCTACTGAGTTATCTTCACTGTTGAATAACATGATACTTCACTGCTCTCTACATAAGTATTGTCAGCTGATGCTAAAAAGAGGAGGGTTATGTATGGCCAGTAAAGGGACTTACTAGGGCTGAGTCCTCTCTGAGGGCTGAATAAAGTGAAGAAATAGTGCCTTTTGTTTTGCCTCAGTGTTCTCTCAACCTCCTAAATAAAGTGTTCCCTGATAGCATGAAAAAGGTATGAGTATAGATTGAAACAAAGGGACCATATCAAGGACTCTCTCCATCTCTTGGGCCAGTGACATACACTGTGAGCTGGAATCTTACCAGTTCCTGGGTTCCTTTATCACCCAGCGGGAGAGTTTAGCACCCATTCTAAATACTCATGAAAATAGGAATTCAATATGGTTGAATTCAGATGACAGATCAATTTCTAAATTCACAGAGACAATGGGATTGTTACATTTTAATATCCCTTCCATTTTGAACATCGACTAAGGTATTCTTTTCTGATCCTATATTATACATAATACTTTCTACAAGCAATTATACTCCAAAAAACCTTAGTCTTTTTTTTTAAAATTGGAGTGTAGTTGCTTTACATTGCTGTGTCAGTTTCTGCTGTACAGCAAAGTGAATCAGCCATACATATACATATATCCCCTCTTTTGGATTTCCTTCCCATTTAGGTCACCACAGAGCACCGAGTAGAGTTCCCTGTGCTATATACAGTAGGTTCTCATTAGTTATCTATTTTATACAGAGTAGTGTATATATGTCAGTCCCAGTCTCCCATTTCATCCCACCCCCCTCCCCTTTCCCCCTTGGTAATCGTATGTTTGTTCTCTACATCTGTGAAAATTAGTCATTTTTTCACGTGCAGTATTGTGCACATGGATGCTAACTAATTACTTTTTTTTTTTTCTTTTTGCAGTTCGCGGGCCTCTCACTGTTGTGGCCTCTCCCGTTGCGGAGCACACGCTCCGGACGCACAGGCTCAGCGGCCATGGCTCACAGCCCCAGCCGCTCTGCGGCACTGTGGGATCTTCCCGGACCGGGGCACGAACCCGCGTCCCCTGCATCGGCAGGCGGACTCTCAACCACTGCGCCACCAGGGAAGCCCCTAATTACTTTTTAAAAGAAGTTTTCGGTCTAGCCTGGAACTTCCTCCTTCGTATTTCCCCAGATCAGGAGTGGCAGTTACTTGGTATATATGCTGATTATCTGCCTTCCCCAACCATGAAGACATGACTAATTAATTACTGCTTGCATTCCTGTTGAGTCTCAGAATCCTTCTCAACAGAGCTCCTCTCCAGCCCCACAATCAGTCAGAGTTGTCCTGGGAAATTAAAACACGTTTTGCTATCCCTGGCATAGATAATTACAGAAACAATATTTTGGGCTTCATCCCTTACATTCTTCTCTGCCTGGTGTACTTATTGGCTTGTGGCTATGTTT